TTTCCAGGGGAATAAACTATTAAATCCAAAATTCAGACAAAGACCAAACAATACTGGAAACAAATTAAAAATAATACACCTTGTTCCTTTAAGGTGTTAGAATTACTCTGTCTGAAAAAAAAATATATGGAATGCGTATTGAAAACCAGGAGTTTATCTCCGTAACAACACTGACCCTTATGGAAACCGCCGCTTGTCACATATATCATCTTATATACCATAGTTATTTTTTAAAAAAATTCTTGTTCTACATTGTCTTAAAATGTCGATGTCGGAGAACAGAATAGAAATATTGCCTAAAATGATTTTAATCAGCCTTTGAATATGCAGAAACGGAGAGTAAGTAACTTTGGATAATAATAATAATAATAATAATAATAATAATAATAATAATAATAATAATAATAATAATAATAATAATAATAATAATAATAATAATAATAATAATAATGATAATAATAATAATAATAATAATAATAATAATAATAATAATAATAATAATAATAATAATAATAATAATAATAATAATAATAATAATAATAATGATAATAATGGAAACTATATTGCCAATCAATTTGACATATTCTAAATGTTATCTTAAACAATATTTTAAATGATGGTTTAATACTTTGACTTTAGTATACTATTTATGATTTTTTTTATAAAGGTCAAATAATTTGTTTTTTAGAAAGTATGTATTTCCTTTAAAAACCCAATTTTTCTATTGCACAACTCCATTTTTATCAATGTTTGCGTTAATTTATATAGGTATATAAAAGTAATAAATTCAACATTTTTGTAAGAAAAGGTAAGGCAAATTAAAATATGTACCTGAAAAAAAATCTGTTAGTCAGCTGAGGAATTATGAGCCTCCATTGAACCGTAGATATTTAACAGCAATTTTGTCATTTTGTACATTGTATCCATTTTGAAAGGTTAAAAAGTTGCAAGTCCGGCTATAAATATTACGAATTTGGAACTGATGTCCCGCTAAAACACCATGACATAGGTATGGCTGATGTATGGCTAAAACTCCATGCTATAGGTAGCACCAATGTATGGCTAAACTCAATGCCATAGGTAGAACCGATGTAGGACTAAACTCCATGTTATAGGTAGCACCGATGTATGGCTAAAACTCCATGTTATAGGTAGGACCGAGTTATGGCTAAAAGTCAATGCTATAGGTAGCACCGATGTATGGCTAAACTCCATGCCATAGGCAGCATTGATGTATGGCGAAAAATCCATGCTATACGTAGCACCGATATATTGCTAAAACTCCATGCTATAGGTATCACTGATGTATTGCTAAAACTCCACGCTATATGTAGGACCGATGCATGGCTAAAACTTCATGCCATAAGTAGAGTTGATGTATGGCTAAAACATCTTGCCATAGGTAGCAATGATGTATAGCTAAACCGCCATGCTATCGGTAGCACCGATGTATGGCAAAAACTACATGTTATTGGTAGCATTGAAGTTATGCTATAACTCCTAGCTATATGTAGCTTTGATTTATGGCTAAAACTCCATGCTATAGGTAGCATTGATGTATGGCTAAAAGTCCAAGCTATAGGTAGCACTCAAGTATAGCTAAAACTCCATGCTATAGGTAGCATTGATGTATGGCTAAAACTCCATGCTATAGGTAGCATTAATGTATGGCTAAAAGTCCATGCTATAGGTAGCACTGAAGTATAGCTAAACCTCCATGCTTTAGGTAGCATTGATGTATGGATAAAAGTCCATGCTATAGATAGCAATGAAGTATAGCTAAACCTCTATGCTATAGGTAACATTGATTTATGGCTAAAACTCCATGATATTGGTGGCATTGGTGTATGGCTAAAACTCAATGCAATAGGTAGCACCAATGTATGGCTAAAACTCCATGCCATAGGTGCTATTAATGTATTGCTAAAACTCAATGCTGTAGGTAGCACCGATGTATGCCTAAAACTCCATAATGTAGGTGGCATTGATGAATGGTGAAAACTCAATGCTATAGATAGCACCGATGTATGGCTAAAACTCCATAATATAGAAAGCAACGATGTATGGCTAAAACTCCATGCCATAGGTAGAGCTGATGTATGGCTAAACCTCCATATAATATTCAGCAGGACAGAAGTATGGGTAAAACTCCATGCCATAGGTGGCATTGATGTATGTCGAAAACTCCATAATATAGGTAGCACCAATGTATGGCTAAAATTCCAAAAATTCCATGCCATAGAAAGCACCGATTTATGGCTAAACTCCATGCCATAGGAAGCATTGATGTATGGCTAAATCTCCATGCCAATGGTAGCATTGATGTATGGCAAGATCTCCATGCCATAGGTAGCATTGATGTATGACTAGATCTCCATGGCATAGGTAGCATTGATGTATGACTAGATCTCCATGCCATAGGTAGCATTGATGTATGACTAAATCTCCATCTATAGGCAGCATTGATGTTTGACTAAATCTCCATGCCATAGGTAGCATTGATGTATGGCTAAAACTCCATGCCAATGGTAGCATTGATATATGGCAAGATCTCCATGCCATAGGTAGCATTGATGTATGACTAGATCTCCATGCCATAGGTAGCATTGATGTATGAATATATCTCCGTGCCATAGGTAGCATTGTTGTATGGCTAGATCTCCATGCCATAGGTAGCATTGATGTATGACTAGATCTCCATGTTATAGGTAGCATTGATGTATGGCAAAATCTCCATGCCAATGTTAGCACTGATGTATGGTTAGATCTCAATGCCATAGGTAGCATTGATTTATGGCTAAAACTCCATGATATAGGTGGCATTGGTGTATGGCTAAAACCCAATGCAATAGGTAGCACCAATTTATGGCTAAAACTCCATGTCATAGATGCTATTGATGTATTGCTAAAGCGCAATGCTGTAGGTAGCACCGATGTATGGCTAAAACTCCATAACGTAGGTAGCATTGATATATGGTTAAAACTCAATGCTATAGATAGCACAAAACTCAATGCTATAGGTAGCACCGATGTATGGCTAAAACTCCATAATATAGGAAGCACCGATGTATGGCTAAAATTCCATGCCATAGGAAGATCTGATGTATGGCTAAACTCCATGCTATAGGTAGCACCGACGTATGGCTAAAACTCCATGTTATATGAAGGACCGAGTTATGGCTAAACCTCAATGCTATAGGTAGCACCGATGTATGGCTAAACTCCATGCCATAGGTAGCATTGATGTATGGCTAAAACTCCATGCTATACGTAGCACCGATCTAATGCTAAAACTCCATGCTATAGGTAGGACCGATGCATTGCTAAATCTCCATGCCATAGGTAGAGTTGATGTATGGCTAAAACATCTTGCCATAGGTAGCAATGATGTATGGTTGAAACCCCATGCTATTGGTAGCACCGATGTATCGCTAAAACTACATGTTATTCGTAGCATTGATGTTATGCTAAAACTCCAAGCTTTATGTAGCATTGATTTATGGCTAAAACTCCATGCCATAGGTAGCTTTGATGTATGGCTAAAAGTCCATGCTATAGCTAGCACTCAAGTATAGCTAAAACTCCATGCTATATGTAGCATTGATGTATGGCTAAAACTCCTTGCCATAGGTAGCTTTGATGTATGGCTAAAAGTCCATGCTATAGGTAGCACTGAAGTATAGCTAAAACTCCATGCTATAGGTAGCATTGATGTATGGATAAAAGTCCATGCTATAGATAGCAATGAAGTATAGCTAATCCTCCATGCTATAGGTAGCATTGATGTATGGCTAAAACTCCATGCCATAGGTAGCATTGATTTATGGCTAAAACTCCATGATATAGGTGGCATTGGTGTATGGCTAAAACCCAATGCAATAGGTAGCACCAATGTATGGCTAAAACTCCATGCCATAGGTGCTATTGATGTATTGCTAAAACTCAATGCTGTAGGTAGCACCGATGTATGGCTAAAACTCCATAATGTAGGTGGCATTGATGTATGGTTAAAACTCAATGCTATAGGTAGCACCGATATATGGTTAAAACTCCATAATATAGGAAGCACGGATGTATGGCTAAAACTCCATGCCATAGGTAGAGCTGATGTATGGCTAAACCTCCATAATATATGCAGCACAGAAGTATGGGTAAAACTCCATGACATAGGTGGCATTGATGTAAGTCTAAAACTCCATAATATAGGTAGCACCAATGTATGGCTAAAATTCCAAAGATTCCATGCCATAGGATGCACCGATGTATGGCGAAATCTCCATGCCATAGGTAGCATTGATGTATGGCTAGATCTCCATGCCATAGGTAGCATTGATGTATGAATATATCTCCGTGCCATAGGTAGCATTGGTGTATGGCAAGATCCCCATGCCATAGGTAGCATTGATGTATGACTAGATCTCCATGCCATAGGTAGCATTGATGTATGGCTAGATCTCCATGCCATAGGCAGCATTGATGTACGGCTAAATCTCCATGCTATAGGTAACACCCATTTATGGCTAAAACTCAATGCTATATGATATGGACAAAACTCAAAACCATATGTAGCACTGATCTATTGCTAAAATCCGTGCCCTTGGTAGGAAAAATATATTGTATTCATGGTGAAAGAAACTAAAATTACCTCCTTGCCAAGTAGCAATGACTGGCATGTCATATAGAGACTGGACGTTTTAGTCACATTTTCAGTTACATTCCTAGAAATATGCATGTGTGTGTGTGCACGTGCGCGTGTGTGATTTGGATTTTTAACGTAAACTTTAACTTTTGATCAGTCATATTGCTACGATGTCTGCAATGTGGTAGTTTATGGTGACGTCTATCACTGAAGCAACATGTCACAGACACGTAACATCATGTCACAGACACGTAACATGATGTCAAATCCAGTCACATTGTCAAAACACTATCGTTTTAATGATGAGCGCTTAGCGAAGCAGCAGTTTGAACTTGGTACCATTTCTATAAGTCTTAGGCTATGCTCGGCTGGGGTTCTAACCCGCGACCTTCCGCATATGAGGTGGACGCTCTGACTACTAGGCTACCAGAGCGGTCTTCTTAGAATTACATTCAAATTCGCATGGAATCCAGAAGTTAGGAGCGACAATTACCCTCCTGGATACGACGCCTAAGGAAACTATAGCCTATTAACATTTATTATTATTATTATTATTATTATTATTATTATTATTATTATTATTATTATTATTATTATTATTATTATTATTATTATTATTATTGCATATAAAATATATTTATCAATAACATGCATCTAATATGAAATTTGCAATATATAATTACTCGATTTTTGTCATAGACAAGCCAAGGTCCTAGATTTAGTTGTTTACTGCTTTCCTCTTACTATAACCATTTTTCCCAATTCAAGGACCATTTCTTTCAATTCAAGGATCATTCTTCCCAATTCAAGGACCGTTCGAAGAATATATAAGATGCCAAAAGACATTACTAAATAAAGGAAATATTTTACATATGAGGGAGGAAGAAAGTAAACAAAAGAGACAAGTCACATTTAAAATAGCCAATGTTTGTTTGTTAATTGTTATGCTCATTTTTAGTTATGTTTTTGTGAGTCGTTGATTTTGTCAAATTAACACAAATGTCCCGAAAGTATCCTGATATGTTTACATTGCATTCTCTAGTGTGTATTGATATTTTTTTATGCATTCAGTCTCTTACACAGGCATGGAAAGATTTGATTTACCCCATTATTGAATTTTGATATAATATTATGACTATCAAACAAGAATGCAAAACACAGGCATGTTTTCACCCATTTTCAAGTGTTTGTTTTGTGGAGAAAGGTAGTTACCTACACTGAGAAATCGGTTTAATCAGCTTGAAAAGTTACAAATTATTTTTGAAGCGCTTTATAAACGTTAACAAATAGTTGTTCCCCTAGAATACAAACTGAAAAATGAAAAAAGTAATTGCGGTATTGCGAAACTCAATCTGGTATAGCCAAGGAAGTACTGACATGTCAAGAGTCTCTTATTGAACCACATAAATATTATTACAAGTTTGAATTAAGTATAAATTCCAATGAATGTATTTATCCGAGACTTTTATCAGAGTACTTTTGTATTTCCAGAAAAAAATAATCAATTGAATTTTAAGATAACAAAATTCATTCCGAACTGGTAACAACTCAATACAACTTAGTGTGGTAGATGCTAAAGCACGAGCAGCAAAACACTCACAGTCACAAGACAATATAGTTCTCTGCTTGACAGCTAGTCACACTAGGCATTTTCTTTACAGCAACCATTAATTAATGGAAAATATCCGCTAGAATGATCTAATATGCATTGTTAATCTAAAGCACAATAACCCATACAATTCACTTAGGAATATTCAAACTCCTGCCCTGATTAACACATTTATTCATTCCTGTTTACAGAATAATATTGATGTTAATAAGCTCATGCACATAGAGAATAATGAAGCTATTATTAGTTGTTTACATAAATACATTTTTAAAGGTACAATGTCAATCAGGTTGAGCAGAAGTGAACCCAATTTTTGACTAAGCCTAGTGCAGCAATGTCACATTAAAATGACATGCATTGAAACAAGAACTAACAAACAAACAATCAAATTGTTTGATGGTTTTATATGGTTGGTTTCCGTTAGTCTCGAGAGACGATGGAAATGCGCCCATGAAAGGTGTCCTAGTTTGTAGCTGTGCAGCGTCTTCTGTGACTATAAAGTCCCACACGGGAGTGGCAATCCTTGCTGCAGTTGCTACACTTGAAGTATGAATCAGGTCTTGGTTGGAACTGCATCCTCTTCCTCTGAGATCTTTTTTCATCAGTGAGCTGTCGTAACGTTTCTTCGCTGGCTTTCAGACCTGTGTACAGAGCATGTTGCCAACTGGACATGTCGAGGGCAAGCTCTTCCCAGGTGTTGACCTCTATTCCAAGAACTTTCATATCCTGCTTGCAGACATCCTTGAAGCGAAGATGTGGCCGTCCTATTGATCTTCTGCCTGAGGCAAACTTAGAGTAGAGAAGGTCTTTGGGGATCCGTCCATCATCCATTCTATGCACATGGCCCAGCCATCTGATGCGACGTTGGCGGAGTAGTGTGACCATGCTGAGAATTTTGGCCTGTTGAAGCACCTCGTTGTTTGTAACACGATCGCTCCAGGTGATCCTGAGTGTGCGACGGAGACAACGCATGTGAAAGGCACTCAGTCCTTTCTCCTGAGAGGCGTACAGGGTCCAAGTTTCGCTGGCATACAGTAGAGTGCTAAGCACGAAGGCACGGTACACGGAGATTTTAGTGTTTAATGTCAGCTTGCTGTTGTTCCACACTCTCTTCGACTATCTAGAGAGAGAGAGAGTTGTTGACGCCTTTCCAATCCGCTTGTTGAGCTCGGCATCGAGTGAGAGGTTGTTGGTGATGGTAGAGCCAAGGTAAGTGAACTCACTGACTACTTCTAGTTTGTAGTTGTTAATGGTTATGCTGGGAGGTTCTGCGTCCTGAGCCATCACGTTGGTTTTCTTTAGGCTGATGGTCAACCCGCATTCATCACATGCTTTAGCAAAGCGGTCCATCAGGCGATGCAGTTCAGCTTCTGTGTGAGTGACTATAGCAGCATCATTTGCAAAGAGCATGTCCCTAATGGTTGCTTTCCTTACTTTGCTCATTGCTTTCAGTCGTGCCAGGTTGAAAAGTCTGCCGTCTGAACGCGTGTGCAGGAAAATCCCTTCTGTGGACGTCCCAAAGGCGTACTTAAGCAGGACAGCGAAGATGATGCCAAAGAGCGTGCGGGCAAGGACACAGCCTTGTTTCACTCTTCTGTGGATATTGAATGGTTCGGACGATGAGCCATCATACTGCACTGTGACTTTCATGTCTTCATGTCAGCATGGACCATGCTTAACAGCTTTGGAGGGCATCTATTCTTCATAAGGATTTTGAAGAGTCCGTCTCTGCTGACCAGATCGAGTGTTTTGGTGAGGTCTATCAAAGCCAGGAAGAGGTGTGTGTGTTGTTTCATGCATTTCTCATGCAGTTGCCTGATGGAGAAGATCATGTCGATTGTGGACCTCTCTGAGCAGAACCCACACTGAGACTCTGGATACACTCTGTCGGCAGGCGTCTGCAGTCTGTTCAGGATGACTCTAGCGAAAACTTTACCCACGATGCTGAGAAGTGATATGCCCCTGTAGTTGTTGCAGTCACTTCTGTCGCCCTTGTTCTTATACAGGGTTATGATGTTGGCATCCCTCATGTCCTGAGGCACTGCACCTTCATCCCAGCAGCAGAGAAGATCATAAACGTGTGTGAACAGCACACTGCCGCCACATTTGATGACTTCTGCTGGGATGCCATCCTTTCCTGGGGCTTTAACTGTAGTCAGTTTCTCTAATGCCAGCTGTAGTTCTGTCTCAGTAGGTTTCTCATCCAGTTTGATCAAACAAGGGAGGTTTTCAATGGCGTTGAGAGCATTGTTGGTCACTTTATTCTCTCTGGAATACAGTTCGGCGTAGTACTCCACCCAGCGCTCCATCTGTTTGCCCTTGTCATGAATGATATCTCCTGCAGAAGACTTCAGTGGAGCTATCACTTTCTTCGTTGGACCCATTGCTTTCTTTATGCCATTATACATGCCTCTGATGTTTCCGTTGTCTACTGCTGACTGGATGCTATGACTGTAGAAGCCAGTATTCATTAGCGCATTGCCGTGCTGACCTCTGCACTTTGCTTCTGGTAGACCTATATGCATGTAGTGTCCTCTCGCAGGAAGAACGCTTGAATTCCAGGTGGGCACTGCGACGCTATTCTATTGCTGATATGTGTATGGCGGAATTGGTGTCAAACCAGTCATTGTTCTTTGTATGCTTCTTACCAAAGATTCTAGTGGCTGCACTGTACACAGTATCTCTGATGTTGTCCCTTCTCTCTTTGGCACTGCCGTAGGGAGGTTCTGAACTGAACGCCTTGGAGAGGGCGTAAGTGAATTCTTCAGCCTTGTCTGGGTATGACGTCTTGCTCACATCCATGTGTGGTTTACCCACTTGCCTAGAGTGGTGGATCTTCTTTGGTTGAAGCTTAAATTTACAGCAGAATAGAGAGTGATCGGTGTCGCAGTCAGCGCTGTGGAATGTACGAGTGAGCTGCACACCCTTCATGGCTGAACGTCTTGTGATAATCAAGTCCAGCGGATGCCTGTGTTTGGATCGTGGATGCCTCCAAGACACTTTGTGCTGTGGTTTTGTCTGAAAAAAAGAATTGGTGATGCTGAGGTTGTGGAACGAGCACATTTCTAGTAGACGTTGCCCGTTTTCATTCATCTTCCCAATGCCAAACTTGCCGAGACACAAAGGCCAGGAGTCGTGATCGGCACCCACCCTAGCGTTGAAGTCGCCCAGTAATATCAAGTTCTCTTCCTTCGGAATATTGTCGATGAGCGAGTCGAGCTCGTTGTAAAACGCATCCTTGGTATATGTGGTGGCACTGAGTGTGGGAGCGTAAACACTGATTAGATTAACTAGCCCGTTTGTGGTGTGTAGGCGAAGTGATAGCAATCTTTCGTTTCCTTTTTGGCAGGGTTCTATCATAGCCAGCAGAGAGTTTCTGACAGCAAAACCAACACCATACACCCTAACTTCGTCTGAGATCTTTCCTTGCCAAAAGAACGTGTAGTTCTTTTCTCTGAGGGACCCAGAATCTGGTAGTCGTGTCTCTTTAAGTGAGGCGATATCGACATGGAGTCTTGCGAGTTCGTCGTTGATGACTTTATTCTTTCGAACATCACTGATTGCCTGGAGATCATCTGAAAGCCCTGTCAGCATTATCCGGACGTTCCATTTACCTAGCTTGAGGATTGTTGACTTCCTTGTTTTTCGTTTGTTTTTTCTTGGTACTGTAGTTGCAGCCCGCTTGTCAGGTATTCACGTATCTTAAGCCCTTCGCACCCAGCAAGGCAGGTGAGCTGTGGCGGGAAGGCACCTTATTAGCTGGGCAGGCGGGCGATAGCTGTCCAATGAGATCTGCTGGTTTCTCCCACCGTCGGAAGCAACCC